CCTCTCGAGAACCTGAAAGGACCTAGGGCCACTTCATGGAGGTCACTGTCTAACTCACTTTTATATTCCACTTCAGAATCGCGGACTTCCGCCGAGTAGTTCTTAGTGAGCGTTTGCCTAATGTCTAGTGGTGAAGACATCAGAGGCCTCATTAAAAGAAACAGACAATATTCCCACCATGACTTTGATCATTGTGTCTTTACAGGTTTTGATTTCATTGTATTGCTGGCCAAAACAGAATTTCAAGTTCTGTAGAAATTATAAAGCTATGTGTTATAATCTTCCTGGGTGGAAATGAGGAAGGTAATTCATCTCATTGATATTTGATGCTTTATGTTCCCTCTTGATTGTAGTCTCATGGGGAAACACAGAAGAGCTGCTGCCTTATAGAAATATTTAAAGGACAAGACTTAAGGTATGCACCCAAGTGCATGCCTGTAAAACCAGCACTTTGGGAGGATGAGGCAGGAGTATCCCAAATTTCATCCAAAATGTGGAAGTGTATGTTTCAGAGTAAGACAGTAGTCAACTGGTTCTATTCATTCCCTACTACATCTTGGAAAAACGGAAGGCTTTCTCTCTTCCACTCAATATTCCGTTAGATATCTAGCCTGGTATTTCATCCAAAATAGTCACACATTTCCTCCTAATCTTCTATCCCAACTTCTAAGGAATATGACAGACTTTCTTTAAAAAGTTGGTTCTTTCAATAGCTGATAAACAGTACAACATTCCTACTAAAATGTTGATTGTTTCAACAGCTAGGCTATTTACTTTTACCTGCTGGGTGAGAGAGGCCGTGAATGGCAGTGTCATTGCCTCAAATAAAAAACAGCAGGGTCATGATTTTTGTTTACAACAAATTTGAGTTTTTGACTTGGTTTTCACAATATGTCTAATCAACTAATATATTCACCAGCATGTTCTGCTGTGCCTCCCCCAAACAGCTGTGTCTCTCTCACTCATCTCTTTCTTCTTCTTCTTCTTCTTCTTCTTCTTCTTCTTCTTCTTCTTCTTCTTCTTCTTCTTCTTCTTCTTCTTCTTCTTCTTCTTCTTCTTT